ACACCAGTGGCTGTGTCTCACCACATGTCGCCACTGTTCCTCTCTTTTTGGATAATGAGGTGGTGACACTGGCTCCTGCAGCCCCATCAAGGCCACCTCTGTTGTTTCCTTCCTTGTTATCAAGTTGACTTGAAGAAAGTGTTTAGAAAAATGAATTTTAGGCTGAGTTTTACTTGTTACTGGTTTGCTGCCATCCATTCCTCTATGCCTTAAGAATAATCATTTGCTAGGGCTAGGGAGATAGCTCAGGTGATCAGGCGCCTGTGCACAAGTATGGACAAGTCGATTTGTCCAGCACCTATGTGAAAGCTGGACACAGAAATGTGCGTCTGTAACCCCAGTGCTGTTGTTGGGTGGGAGGGTAGATCCATAGAGTTGATTGGCCAGTCGGCCTAGCTGAATTGATGAATGCCAGGTTCAGTGAGAGGCCCTGTGTCAAAAGGTAAGGTGGGGAGTAGCCATTTGTGGTGACACACACCTTCAATCCCAGCACTTTGGAGGCAGAGGATCTCTGTGAGTTAGAGGCCAGTCTGGCCTACATAGTGAGTTCCAGGCCAGCTAGGGCTACACAGTCAGAAGCTCAATCAATCCATCAGCCAATCAATCAATCAACAGACAAGCAAATAACACATGGAGAGTGATGGAGGAAAGACAGCTGATGTCAATTCTCTGGTTGCCATGTGTACACGTTCATGCACATACATGAATTTACCTCACATGCACAGCATACGCACACACAAAGACCACTCACATATTTAGTATATTATTGTGCACAGTGTGGTGGTCATACTTGATGTATGAGTTGAAGTTTTGCCTATCTTCTTGGTAGGAAAGCTTACCAAAGCTTACAGATACCTTTGTGTTATTAAGCAACCGTAGGAACTCTGGTTTTAGGGGCATCATCCAGCAACTGAAGGGAGCAGATGCAGAGAACCAAAGTCAAACCCTAGGAAGAGCCAGGGGAACCCCACTGAAGAGGGGAAGAAGGACTATAGCAGAGACAGGTGTTGAGGACACCACAAGAACATGACCCACAGAATCAACTAAGCAGGGCTCATAGGGGCTCACAGAGACTGAAGCAACAAACACAAACCCTGTTTGGGTCTGCTGAGAAATATATACATATACATATATACATATATATGTGTACATATATACATATGTATGTGTATATGTATATATGTATGTATATATACACATATACATATATACATATGTATACATATATATATATATACATGTATATATGTTTAGGTTTGATATATATACACATTTTGTTGTGTATCTTGATGTTCTTGTGGGACTTCCAACACTAGGGATGGGAGTATCTCTGACTTTTGCCTGCTCTAGGGGACCTTTTCCTCCTGCTAGATTGCCTTATCCAGCCTTGATATCAAGGTTTGTGACTAGTCTTATTAAAACTTGTTATGCCGTGCCTGATCTTTTTTTCAAAGGGAAACAGAGGAGGAGTGGATCTGGGGGAGAGGGTATGTGGAGGGAGAGTCTGAGAGGACTGGAAGGAGGGAAAGCTGCAGTTAGAATGTAGAATGTAATATATGAAAGAAGAATAAAAGAAAAATAACTGTATAATAATAATAATAATAATAATAATAATAATAATAACTCTGAGTTTTGTTTTTGTTTTTCAAACAGGGTTTTTCTCTGTGTAGCCTTGGCTGTCTTGGCGCCCTCTCTCTGTAGACCAGGCTGGCCTCAAACTCACAGAGATCCACGTGCCTCTGCCTCCTGAGTGCTGGGACGGAAGGTGTATGCCCAGGTTTTTAAAGCCTGAGTTTTAAGGGCTTAGCTACATGCAGTCCCTCTAGTAGTCATCAGATTCCCTCTTCTTGAATATCTACTTTGTTTCCCTTGCCCAAGGATAGCCCAAGGTGATGGATCTGATCTGTCTGTCAGAGAGCCCACAGCAGCATTCCTAGTGGGAGGTAGTATCATGGGACCTTGTCCACAGCAAGAGGAGAATTTATCATCTCACACTGCAATGCCCAGGCCCACAAATATACAGATGTGTATGTATGATTATGCTAATTTGTCAACAAGAGGCCTCTAGAGCTGGATGGGGCACTCGACCTCCAAATATGGTGGCAGGACTCTATTGATCCTGCTTTTTATTTTTTATTTATTTTTTGACACAGGGTTTCTCTGTGTAGCCCTGGCTGTCCTGTAACCCACTTTGTAGACCAGGCTGGCCTCAAACTCACAGAGATCTGCCTGCCTCTGCCTCCCAAGTGCTGGGAGTAAAGGCGTGTGCCACTATGAATGGCTTGATTCTGCTTTTTCAATCCTTCCCAAAAATACTGGAGGAGGAGTTGGTGAGTGGGCACCAAATGTCCTGACCCAAGTCACTGGTTAGACACATAAGAATCAGGAAGGGCCTTAGAGTCAGGGGGAATGAAGCAAAGGTCTATACATATGATGCATTTGGAAGCTGTCAAGTACCTGGAACTGGGAGGGGGGAGGGGTTCTTGGGGCCTAGTCAACAGTGCAGAGTTGCGTCTTGAAGGAGTAGTGTTTGGAGGCAAAGAAGTGGGCCTGAACCTGCATCATGGAAAGTCTGAATTCCAGCCCAAATGAAGGGTGTGGAGGATGGGCAGCAACAGTAATTGGGTGATGGGTACATGAGAAGGAAGAACTCAGCTAGAAGATTTGGGAACCCGAGGCAGCAGAGTTTTGCTGAAGTAGGCACAGCCTCAGGTGTGTGTGACACTCCAGGCAGGAAGAGCCTTTCCAGATGGCCAATGGGGGTGGGGTGGGGGGGAGGAGGAGGTGTGTCCTCTCCCAGAGTCCAGGGTGGAGGCCTGTCCTAGGGTGAGGCTGGGACCTGGCTCTGTCCGCACCGCCTTCCTCCTCCCCCATGCTGGTCAGCTCAGAGCGGCCAGACGCTGTCCACCAGTGGTGCCGAGCTCGCTTTATCAGATAATAAATAAGACGGCTGGAGCCGTCCGTGTCAACATCTTGGCGGCGTCCGGGGCCCAGAGGGGAGGGGGCTACTTGTGAAGGGCTTAGTCAGCCCCCTCCCCTTGAGGCCAGGGTCAGCCCAGTGTTTGTGTAGGGAATTCGGGCACCAGGGCTCCCCTGCCCAAGGCCTGGCGCCTACAGAAAACCAAGTTTCTCTGGTCTCATTTCATCCTGTGGAGAGGAAGTGAGGACATGGAAGGAGCTTAGCTCCTCGGATCACACAGTCCATACAAGGGATAAGCCCAGAGAGACTCTGGTTCTAAAGTGGAGATAGGCCTGGTCTGGCTGGGGCGGTTGGCATTAATAAGGGTAATGTGAGATGCGAGACATTCAGAGCGACAAGGGGATGGAACTGGTGGTGCAGATGAGTTTGAGTGTCCCTGCTAGCTGGTGTCCCTACCTTAGAGGGCTGGAGCCCGATCTCAGCTGCTTTCCCAGGCCTATCCTTAGAAGCACTAGAGAGTCTCTGAGGGCCAGGCATTCACCAGCTGTAGGCCCATGTCTGACAAAACACAAGGAACTGGGACCACGGAGCATCTGCTCAAGGGAGCATGGATCTGAATTCTACACAGTCTTCCTGGAGTTCCCCCCCCCCCCCCCGCTTTATGCAACTTCTCACCTCTCTACCCAGAATGTCCTACCTACACATTCTGTTCACAAACCTCGGGGAATGCTGCCTGAGCCTCTAGAACTGTCCACGGGGCTGTCACAAAGGACAGCAGTGAGAGCCTTGCGTTCAGTGCCCCTTCTGCAACATGATACCTTCAGTCTTTTGATGGGAGAGCAACAGGATGGTAGTGACAGTAGCAAGCAGTCTGTCCTAAGAAAGGCCCTTACTTCGTCAGATAGGAAGTTCCTGCCCTTCACATGCCTCCTGTCCCTAGGCTTTCCCTTCTGAGACATACAGGCATTCAAATGAGCACCTGGGAGAATTTCTTCTGCTTTGTGACAGGCCACCCTTTTAAGCCCAAGAAACTCTTACCCTTTTTTTTGACTGTACTCCTGCAAGCTCAGGGGTATAGTTCAATATTGTGGCACTGTATCCAGCATCTCTGGTTGCCTGGTGTAGGACAGCTTTCGGGGTCTGGTGGCTGACTCTCTGCCTTGAAGCATCTAGGGGTCAGGTTTCACCCTGCACCCACAGAGAACTCACCGATACAAGCTGCAGCAAGACCCCGGAATAGAGTAGGAGGAAGCGTGCCTCTCTGCTGTGCTGTGAATCAAAGCATGGAGCAGGGCCACAGCTGGAGGGAGAAGGTCCACCTATCTGCCCTGGCAAGAAACGCCTACTGACAGGACTCTGGTCTCTCCGTTTCTATGCCCCACTTCGCTGCCTCACTTGGTCTTCTTCCTTCCTTGGGCTTCCCAGGACACACTGTGGGGGCCCAGAAATGATTTTGGACAGGAAGGGACAGACTTGGGGTACTGTGGCCCCTTCTGCTTCAGGATCTGGGATCCTGTAGCTCAGAGGTGATAGAGATGGAATGCGTTATAGGCAGCAGACAGAGGGGCCTTCCTTTCCATCCTGGGGTGCAGACAAGGCCCCCAGTTGCTCAGTGCTGAGTAAGTGTCCAGCTCTTCTGGAGGTTTACGAGCAGTGGGCAGGATGGGGTGGGTGGTGGGAGGAAGGGCAGTGGTGGGACGCTTGGTAGCTATATTAAGGACTTGGTTTGCTGGCTTCCTCCTGAAGAAAGCTTAAATTTAGCATCAGTGACCAGGCCCAGCAGTGGAGCCTATGGCCTTCATCATGTCAGCCAGCTACTTAGTTAAGAAAGAGATGAATGGAGAGATGGCTCAGTGGTTAGGAGCACTTGCTGCTCTTTCAGAGGATCCTGGTTCAGTTCTCGCCACCCACATGATGGTTCCCAACCATCTGTAACTCCAGTTCCAGGGGATCCGAAGCCCACTTTTGATGTTTGCTGGCACCAGGCATGTATGTGACACACACATACATATGTTCAGGCAAAGCACTCATACAGATAAAATAAACAAAACAAAACAAAACAGAAAAAGAAAGCCAGGCGTGGTGGCTCATGCCTTTAATCCCAGCACTCAGGAAGCAGAGGCAGGCAGGTCTCTGTGAGTTTGAGACTAGCCTGGTCTACATAATGAGTTCCAGGACAGCCAGAGATACATAGTAAGACCCTGTCTCAAAGATAAAAAACAAAGAAAGAAAAAAGGCAACAGAAGTGGAAGGTATCTCATGTCTGGATGACCCTCTCTGCTGAGTTCCTTTCCTCTCCACCCAAGGAGATGCCACCTGCCTTGTGCCTCTTATGGTGGATGTCTCCAGGGAGTCTCCCCAGGTTGGTGAGTGCCTGGTGCCACCTTGAAGATGCATGAGTTACAGATGTGATCACAGACACCTCTCTCATCACAGACGGGGAAACTGAGGCTTGGATGATAGGAACTCCTAGGAACAGCACTGCAGTGAGAATACTGTGCACAGCCCTCATGCGGCTGCTGTGGTTTGGTCTGCATCAGTGCACACTTGGGGTGTGGGTGCTTGGAGGAATCCACACGGTGCCTCATGTGCCAGGGTCTCTAGTCCCCTCCTTCTCCCTACCCCAGTATCTGGGATGTGCTAATAGACATCCAGGCAGCTGGCTTTGCCTTCGACAGATGCATGGATGGGAGGTATGCCCACTTGGAGCAAGTGACAGAAGCATGCCTTGCTCTTGTCCCTGTGATGTCTGCAAAGGTTGCAGACTACTATCCTTTGCTTTCCTTCTAACCGGGGCCCACTATCCCCGCCCTCAAGCTGAACTGGGTAAATCGAGGTTCCACACAGGAGGCAGGTTAGGGGTGGCCTTCATGGTTGGGTGACCTCTTGGTTTCCTCACCTGGCAGTGGAAATGCCAGGAAGTGGCCAGTGGAGATAAGACTGTGTGTGTATGTGTGTGTGTGTGTGTGGCCTACAGAACACCCTCTGCCTTCCACTGCCATCACCTTGCTGCATCAGGGCCCTAAAACTGACCCGAAGCTCCTGGTCAGTCACCACCAGCTGACATGACCTGGTGTGAAGAGGATACTGCAAATAAGGCTGCCTTAACAACTGCTGGGACGATGGCTGAGCCAGGCCACAAGGCCACATGTCGCCCAGTTCCAAGACTGTCTCTGTGTGGGTCTACCCACCAGCAAAAGCCTAAGTGTGCAGATTGCCAGAACAAGGCCCTTTACTGCCCTGTCTGGAAGGGAACGTATAAATAAATACAGACGTTTGTGATGCTGGCCAGAGGGATGCATTTGCCTTGGGGCAGTGTCCTGGTTCATTGCTCAACCTGCACACTGGTCTCTGGCGGTCCTGTATCCATCCACAGGCAAGGAAGGACCTTTCAGCTTTGCAGAGTGAAACATGGGATATGAAGACCTTGAGGCTCCAGCGGCTTTGTGTCGGGTCCCCTTTCTCTTATTGCCTGCCTGGACTCTGTTTGTTTCACTTGGATCAGATTTTACTGGGGGATGCTGTGAACCTTTGCCAGCTGCTACAAGCTGTAAATGTTGACCATTGATGGCAAGAGCTGAATTCAAGTAATTGGTGGGTATCTCCAGTCATCTTGGCTGCAGAGCAGTCCATGAGGGGTCTGGGCAGTCCATTGCTATCCCAGATGGGGCTCCAACCCTTCATCCACCAGCCTTCTTCTTTCTCTAGGCAGTCAGCAAAAAAAAAAAGCTTCCCCATGACAGTGCTGAGGGACCCATGGGGCTGCTGGCTTCAGGAACTAACCTCTGTTCCTAAGATCCCCTGGGGTGACAGTTCTCTAAGCACCTAGGCCAAGGCCAGGGCACACCAGGTCTCTTGACGCAGGACCCCACTGAGGCCAGCCTGGGGGCTCAGGGACGAGTTGGTGAAGGCAAAGTCTTCAGGCTCAAACTTGAACTCCAAGTGGCTGGGGGCCAGGGATTCATCCGCTGGGCTGGGGGCCTGCAGGGAGGATGGGGTGAGGGAGAATGGAAGATCTACCACCTCTCTGGGACTGGGAGTCATAGAATAGGGTGATTTTCTCCAAGGGCCTCTCAGCTTTGAATGAGTAGAAAAGCTCCTTGGCAGCATGGCTAGTGAGACTGGCGGGGCTCTGGACCATGCATGCCACACAGCTCTGGGGAAGGATGCCACCACATCGGTGGTTAAGGGCTATGTGCCCAGGGAAGCTCTGGGAGAGATCTTGGGGCTCTGATGGGATCTGAATTGGTGAAGAAGGAAGGTTCTCCCTGAAGTGTGAAGACCTGTCTCTTGTACTCCCCTGCCTCATCTGCCTTACCTGGGAGGGGACAGTGGGCCCAGCACACACTGGAGAAGCCAGACTTGTCTCTGCCTTCAAAGTGGTGGCTGAGCTCTCAGTGTTGAGGATAGTGGGAGAAGAGGTTGTGGTGTTTGCTGTGGATCCTGGGAGGGAAGAGGGGGTCATTACAGAAGGTGCCATTTCTGACCATATTTCCTGCCACATGGCCAATTCTCCTGTCCTTGTCCAGAGAGATTCAGAGATTTCTTAAAGTCACACATCACTGAAGGGTGGAGAGGGTCAGGTATAGCTTTGTGCACCCCACAGCTGTCCATGTGCCCCTCCCCCAGCAAGCCTAAGGACACCCACCAGGGGCTGGGTTAGAGTGAGACTCAGAGGTCTGGGAGTGGCCCCTCCTGGCTCCCTGCGCACCTGAGGAGCCCTTGATCTTGGCAGGGTTCTTCGGTTTCCGTTTTCTGGTCTGGATACTCTCCTTTTTCATTGCCAGTGGCCTTGGCACCTAGCAGGAACAGCGAGGGTAGGTGGCTGCTCTCTGTCCCTGCTCACCCCGGGGCCCCTCAATCACCTTCCTGTCCCACCCCAGAGAGCCAGCCCCTCCTAGATGCTGGGCTGACCCGAGGGCACAGGCCTGTTGAGTCACCTCTACCCTTGGATGCCGTCCCATCTGTCTGAGAGCACGGTTGAAGTGCAGAGAGGGCAAGGTATGGGTGCACACCATCTGTCCTAGGCCAAAAAGCCCTGGGGAGCTCCATGAACCTCAGAAGGCAGGTCTGCTCAGTGGGCATGGAGGCTTTGTCTCCCAGAGGAGTGGGTATGTGTAAGTCAACACTCAACACATGTGTAACACTACCAGACCATGTTCAGGCCAGGGGCCAAAGGCTATCCTGTCTAGCTGGGGTCGTTCTAGACAGAGGTAGCTACTCTCTGCCACTCACCCCATGGAGCTTCATGTAGAGGCCACAGGCATTGCACACAGGCTCGCCCTCTGCGTTGCGCCTCCAGAGGGTGGTGGTGGCAGTGTGGCAGTTGGAGCAGCAGAGTCCGGATCGACGGGACGAGGACTGTGAGGCAAGTGAGCTGGAGTGAGCCCAGACTTTGGGGGGGGGGGCTCTGGTGCAGTAGATGACAATGAACAGGATGGAGGGAAGCTAGACTCAGCAGTTACCAGCTGCCAGGTCGGAGACCATTCTGCTTGAGTGAGAAGTTTGGGTGCTAAAGGCTTGAGGCCTGCCACGACCTATCTGGCAGGACATGATGTCTTTTGTTCCACAGAGCTTAGATTCATTGGCCTTCTGGTCCCAGGACCAGTCCCTTCACCTCTGGGCACTTCCCATCACTGAACTGTAACAGACTTTCAGGGTCTGGTTGTGGGGTTCTGAGCACCTGAAGGTCTGGTACAGACATACAGCCATTGATTATTGTTCTAAGATATCCAGGTTGATCTAATCCTGTGGGAGGTCTCTGTGGGGGATCACGGCCCTGAAGGCCACAGACACCTCAGGAGGTCAGGCCCAAACGTTAACCTTCAGGATCCTGCTGGTCCTCTTGCACATATCTTTCCCCAGAGCTCAGAGCACACACTGACAATACCCCACAGGGTTCCCAGTACTCACAGAGTGTTGAGTAGAGTACTCTGTGCAGGGTCCTATCTGTCATGTCTCACCCTTGCTGTGCTCTCTTCTTGGAGTCTCTTGATCCTGGGCTGGGTAAAGCCTTCTAGCTGTCTGCCTCATCCCACTACATCTCTCTTCAGTATTCCTGATCTCACACACTTGGAGAGAACCCAGACTTCCCTGTGTTTGGGGAACTTGGGCCCTGTACTAGAGGGGAGGCTGGGTACAGGAATCTGGGCCTAGCTAATGAAGTTGGTCAGGGGCAAGAAGTGGGCTTTCTGTGCTGTTTTGGGAGTCATCAGAGAGGGCCCAACCAGTCTTCACAAGCTCAAGGTCTCCTGGGCTCACTGAGATCTGTACCTGTCCTGTAAGGCTCACAGTTCAACATGTGATGGAATCTCGTCCCTACTGTTGAAAGGTCTATCCAGTTACTTGGACCCTAAGGTCTTCCTAAGCTCCACAGCCCAGCCTTGCTGTGACACTACTGGCATCAGACTCTACTGTTCTGTCTCTACATTGGTCTTGCCCTTGGATGATACCTCTGTCCCCCTGCCCCCCCCCCCCATCTGTCTCCCTTATGGTTCAGGGATGCAAATTTCCACTACAATTCTAGAACATCAGCCAAAAGTGATAAGGAGGGTGTCTGCATAAGTGTATCTACTTTAGTACTTGAAATAAGATTAGCAAGATATCTGTGTTTACTTGGAAGTCACACTTAACAAGGTGCCTGGCACTTGTAGTTCCTAGTTTCTGCTGGATCTTCAGAGCTAGGGAGCCCTGGCCTCCCTTCTTTCATGAACCGGCTAAAGGCTATGGGTAACTTCTGAGATATGGCGGGTGAGAAGCAAAATCATGTGCCTTTTGTGCAGACCCCACACAGGAAGAAAGATGCACCAGCTTCTTCCTACACACCAGAAGTGCAAGAGAAAGTTTGGAAAGCAGGTTGGAGTCTTTCATTGCAACTAAGTCATGCTTTTATAAGATTAAGAACATAGGGAAACAACCTGAGAAGCTTGCCTTTTCCTCAAACCTCACACCTGTCAGTCATTGCACGGAAGGGAAGCAGAAGCTCAGACATGTCAAGGAACCACAGGAAACTGAGGAGCCACGTGGGCAGAGCCCTCTCTTTTGAGAACTTGGGCACATGCCCATTTGCTATACACTGGTGCCCCACCCCCCAGCCTCCATCTGTCCTTCCTCCCTGTCTGTGCAGGCAGCCTGGCCACTTTCAGGTGCCAGACAGCTAGCCTCTCCTGGATTCATTTCATTTCCTTTTGTCTGTTCTTTTCGGGAAAAGTTCATCTTCCATGGATGCTCACCTGAAGGAGAGCATCACTGAGTGCCAGGCTCCATGTACTGGGGACCTCCAAATAAGTCAGCCTTGGAGCATAAGGCAGTCCTGCCAAGGTGGACACTCAGGGAGGTGGCTGGAACCTTGCTTAGTCATATGTGCGTCATATATTCAGGTGAGCTCTTTGGAAAATGGAAGCTGCAATACAAAGTGTTGGTACCCAGAACCTAGTTACCCAAGATTGGCTAAGAGACCCAGTTGGAGCCTTGAGGATAAGCCAAGGCTTGAAATGCCTTCAGTTCTAAGTGGACCCTCTCTTGGAAGACACACAGAAGACTAGGTCAAAGATTTGTCCCTTGTCTGCTGAGGGAAAACCGAGATGGGATGTGAGTAGTGAGTAGAGCATGTTTGGGGTCAGAGACACCTACTCCTCTACCCCAGAGCAAATCAGGGGCTCTTGCCTGATTCCTCTTATCACTTATCACCTCTTATCACACTGCTTATCACTGTGTCCAAGTGCCCAGTTCAGAACCTGGTACAGAGGAGAGCGGGCAGTGTAAAGGGACAAGGCAGGTATGCTGCCTGGGAGGCTGTACCCTGAGGCCTGGGATGCAGTCCTCCATGACTGGGCTATATTTCTATGGTTTCCTCATTAGTGAGCATCACTGAGACCAGGCTGGGCAGCTCACATGGAGAGGGTTCCATTATAAGGCAGATCACTGAAGGGCACAGTAGCTTGTGAGATGGTGGTCCATCAGATGGCAAGAAGCAAAGTATTGGGCAGGATGGGCCTGCAGATCCCCAAACCCCAGGCCAGCTCAGAGGAAGAGCGTCATGGCTTCCCTAAAGCCTCTTCCCGCATCCTGTCCACCTCCTGGAGCTCACAAACTCCTGTTCCCATCCTAGGACCTCACATGCCCAAAACCCTGAGAGTGGACAGAGAGCTACAGCCCCAAGTCAGTACACTTAGGAAACCAGCTTCACCACACCTGTCAGGCAGGGCTAGGGCAGCCGGTCCCCAGATGCTGCCTGCTACAGACACGGGGCTCGTCTGAAACCTGAAGGGTGAGGAGCTCCCTTCCAGGTGGAGATGTTGACACTCATGTGGGGTTTACACCTGGGCCTGGTGCTCAGGAGCAGTCCTGTCCAGGTCTGAGGCCCATAAACCCACTATAGCCTCCACAGCAAGAACACAAGCTGCTAACTCCAACCCAAACTCATATATAAACTTAAACCTGAAGCTTTGCCTATGAGATGATAGAGCAAAGCTACTTCCTGCTTTCACAACTTCTAGTGGCCCAAGCCTGAGCCTTCACTTCTAACCAGCCCTGGCATCCCAAACACCTATGCAGTATGCGCCAGAAAGAGCCAAAACGGAAAAGAAGATTTAGCCAAGGAGCCAGGCATAAGACAAAGGCCTGGTTTCCTGGAGACCCTCGAAGCACAGGCAGAAAGTGTTTCACAAGGACACACACCCAAACGCTGTCTCCTTCAATTCTCAACACCACCGTCAATGCACCCTCAACCTTATCTGTGCTGGCCACCTTGAGGCCTCCAAGACTCATGATCAGGTTGCCACCCACTATTACCACCACCACAGTCCCTCTGCAGGGCTGAGCCCTCAGGGTCCTACGGAGACTAACTCTGGTGCTGGGACGTCCTGTGGTCGTGTAGCAAGTGGCCTTGACACATACCTTGTTCTGTCAAGTACCAAGTAACTTGCCAACGCTGCAGTGGGTTGTAAGACCTGACCACATCTCCATTAGGAGTTTGGGCCTGGATCCTGATGGTTCCCTGGATATTTTCAAACTCCAGGAGGAAATGAGTTGGCGTGGCTCCACCAGGAGCCCTGGGCAGCCCACATTGCCCTGTGTTCCAGTCCCTACCCCATCCTTTAGGATCCCAGACACCTCTGAGTTTACAGGAGCCAGCTATTCCCTCTGGGAATTCCCAGCTATTCCCTTTGTAACCCTGGCCCTGGCCCTGGCCCTCTCCCTGCCGCACTCACCAGACGCTTCTGGGGCCTCACTAGTGGCCGGTTGACCCCGTTCATCTTGTGATAGAGGCCGCAGGCGTTGCATAGGTAGTGTCCGGTGCCATCACGGCGCCACAGGGGTGTAGACAGGGCTCCACAGTTGACGCACTCCCGGCCCTCACCAGGGAACTCCTCCAAGAAGTCAGGGACTGTGGGGACAAGACGCTTGTACACTGGGGCCTCTGCCCCACTGGAAAGCCTGAGGGCTTCTGCTGGGCTCTACCTCCTTTCACAGTGTCTTATAATACATATTACACGGCATATAACATACAGCTCATTTAAAGAGCGATTTATTTATATACTTAGTCATATTTTGTTTTTAACGAACTTTGTTTGTTAGCTCAACAACCTTGTTTATAAGGCAGGGGTGTAAATAAGCCAAACTTTCAGGTAGACATCTGAGATGGCTCCTTTCTTAACCAGAGTCCATGCCGGCCTTTGTATTTTTAATAAACGTTGGAAGCAGGCAGAGGGAAGTGGATGGCAGAGCCTCATTTTCCTTCTTCCCCTTTCCCACTTGAAGATCTCCTGTGTGTGAAGCGAGTGGGCCTCAAGGGCAGGGGATGGAGAGACAGAGATTTGAGACTCTATAAGGGCGCCGCTGGTCTTGCTGTCAGCTTTGTTGTGGGGTCAGTCACTGCCCTCCCTCAGAAGACAAAGTCACAGGGGCACCAGAGTGTCCCCACCCAGCTCCAGGTCTAGCCAGGCACCACAGATATGCAAGCAGTGGCCGGGGGCAGGGTGGGTACCAGGCACAGGGGCTGCCCTTGTCCATCTCAATGTACCAGGTCGGCTTGGGCCAAGAGGGGGCTGTGAATCAGGGGCCAGGCTTCCATGTTCTTGGAGGGATGGCCTACAGGAGGCCCTGAGCTGCAAACAGAGGTTGCCCCCCCTTTTTTTTCTGTGACTGTGTCTCAAAAATACCCAGAAACCCAGAGGAACGATTCCCAGCTCAACAACCTTGGAATCTAATCTAATTTAATTTATGTTCCTGGGAGGTATGGACATCTCAAGCTGGAATGCCAGTTTTGCAGACTGAGATGGCTATGGTGGCTTGTTCGAATAATCAGTATTCCGAGCTTTATAAAATTCATTCTCAGCCCGGGCATAAGAGCACATGCCTGCTCGGCACTTAGGAAGGGTGAAGGCAGAGGATTGCTGTTAAGTTTGAAGTTGTTCATTTTGACGCCTTATTTAAAAAAATATAATTTCCAAAATTTCCCAATAAAAGTTTAGAATGTAGGTTCCAAACTGACATAACCCAGAATGCTTTTTTTTTTTAATGCGTGTTTGGTCGTGTGAAAGACAGAAATTTATTATTATTATTTTGCTATTATACTGAAAAAAGAATTCTGGATCGAGTGTTTTTCATCGTGTTGTGTTCCACGAAGGGCCTTGTATCCTAGCAGTTCTAGGTGGGAATCTGCGGGGTCGGACCAGGCGGGGAGAGCCCTGACTACAGAAGAGCGCATTTCAGATTTTCGCATTTCGTAGCGTGCGGGTTTATCGCTACGCGCCTTAGCTTTAGAGCCAAGTCCACCGGACAGGACCAGCCTGGTACTCACCGAAGGTGGCTCTCCGGCCAGGGAGGCCACCAGGACGACCTTGCAGACCGTGCAGGATGCTGCTGTCGAAGGGTCCGGAGGTCCACGAAGGGGCTACATCGGGATTCACGTATGCTGGATAGGTCGTAGGGTACGAGGCACCCATGGGCCTCCCGAGCGAGGTTGGGTACTGTTCGCGAGCCAATAGCGCGCCCTGGAAGGCGCCGCCGTCCCGGGGCCCCGCGCTGCTGCCGCTGGCCGAGCCTGGGGGGCTGTGTGCGAATGGGAAGGCGGTGGCTCCGGTTGGATGTGCGGCTGGTGGGTGCGGGCTTCCGGAGCCGAAGGCTGAGGAATCGGCGGCCGCTGCCTGCGTCCAGCTGGAGTGTGCGGCGAGCGCGGGAGACTGCGAGCCCGGCTCACACGCAGGCAGGTAGGGCAGCATGGAGGGCACGCGCGTGGGTGCCACGAACACCGGGGAGCCGGCTCCCGAGGAGTGCAGAAAGGCTCCCGAGTCGGCGTAGGTGGCCTGGCTGGGGCTCTGAGCCAGCGCCAAGCTCTGGTACATTTCTCACTCCCCGCACGAGCCTGACCTGCAGAGAAGAAAAACAGGCGTCGAGGGCAGGATCACTGGGCCCCCTCCATCAGATCTCGCGCTCGCCCTGGGCAGGTGCTGCTGCTCCGCTTGCGCACTCCGTTCTTCTGAAGTCGGTTCACCGGGGCAGGTCCCGGGCTCCTCCGGGTGGAAAGACGGGGTTAGGAAGAGGCTCAGGAACTCAGGATTGAGGTCCTTGCCACGCACGGAAAGATCGCTGGCCAAAGCCCTCACCCGCGGAGCAGGGAGGAGCGGGGCTGGCCGAGGGCCGGTGACCGGTGGGTTGTAGACTGGGTCTCCGGAGGGAGCCGCTCTGCAGGAAATCCCGGGAGCTAGGGCAGCCCCGCCCCCACCGGGCCGCCCCTTCACTCTCGGAATCGGTCCCTCCCTCCCCTCAGGGTCAGCGCCAGGGCTCTGGCCGCGGTGCCACGTGACCCGAACAGGCTCCTCTGTCCGGCTCTCTGAGACCCAAACTTGCCGTGTATCCTCGTCTGAGCCTGAACAAACGCAGGCGATGCGAGGAGGCTGAGAGCCCGCAGGGTCCTGGGACAGCAGCAGCAGCTCTGAACCGTCTCCAACTTTGTTGCTAGGATCAGTAGCCCCAGCCCTCGTCTATTTGGAACTCCAGGCCCAAGGCTGGTTTAGAGGACGGTTCCATGTCTTGTGGTCCCAGGCCCCACTGAACCTAGGGACACATGGTGTTGGAACCGTGTTGGCTAGCATTTGATGACGCTACAGTCCGGGACCTACTTGGGGATCTAGCTTCCACGAGGACCGCAGGGCTTGGGCCTCTTTTCTCTTACTGGGTGTTTTGTTCGCCAGCAATTACCCCGAGTCCATCAGGACCGCGCATTGTTGGCTGAGTTTTTGAACAAGCAGGACCACCGGAAAGGGGACTCCAGCGCCAGTGAACTCTGAGTAGAATGACATAGTTCCTAAGATCACAACGGAAGGCTGATAGACTCAAAGTCCTGAGGCTTTCACAGGCTGAGGAACTTGGCAAGTGTCTCTTTCGGGTGCTGGAAACTTCCGGGAGGCTCGTGCTGGAGCACCTAGTTCAGTTTTGTTGTGACTTCTGTCCTCTGACTTAACACAGGAGTTCCAGGTGGAAAGCACTCAGAAGGTGCAGCAGCCCCGGAGGGCCCCAAGATGTTTCTCACTTTCTCACATTGGCCCAGGTGTGCTGCAGACAGACACGTGGGTGACGCAGGAGCTCCTGAGATAAGGAAGTACATCGGCTAACCTTAGGATCAGTGTCCAGTGTGTTGACTGCTCAGCGTGGGATAACTTAGCTAGTCAAAAAGGAGCTGAGCCTGATGCACACTGGTGTCCATCCACCCTGCTCTCCTTCAGCATGCAGAGATCGAGCTGTGAGTCAAGAGTGGAAGTGAGAGGGGCCTGGGGATGGTACAGACTGTCCTGATACAGGATCCAGAATCTGAGCCATAGAGGTGCAGAGCAGAGGCTGGGTTGGGGTGGTGGGTTCCTGGGAAGGGGAGCTTGCCAGCATTTCCTGCTTCAAGTTACCTCCCATTGCACTCTTCCTGGCATCTCTTCCTCCCTCCTTGAGGTGGGCACTGGGTTGGGGCTCCTAGTTGATGCGTCCAGCACTGACTTCCTGTGGTATGCACAGCACTTGGGCCATCAGGCTTGACATCCCTTCTCAGTAGAACCCTTCAGGCTTCAAGTGTGCAGGTATCCCCCTTTGCAAAGTGCCCCGGGGAGGAACGACATTCAGGTGCCCATTTTGGGAGAGTGCTGGGTGCAGCAACACTGAGTCTTCTCCTGAGGATGTTTAAATGAAATGAAAAGATTCCCCCCCCCAACCCCCCGCACTCCACCAAGCTCAGGAATGAATAGTGAAGAGACCCCTCACTTGCTGGGGAATGAGTCCTCGTCTCTCCAGAGAGAATCAATAGCAGATCTAGGGTCTTTGGGCTTTTTGCATGGGGTAAACTCAACAAAGTCCCTGAGAGGAAAATGACCACAAGACTGAGGTGCTGGGTTTTGCCCTGCAGTATTAATATTTAATTGTTATCTCAGTCTTAATGAGGCAGATGAGGTTATTCCTACTTACAAGCAGAGGAACAAAGAACAGAATAGTCGGCTAACTTATCCAATGTAATACAGCTAGTAACTAGTAACACAGCTAGCTACTCATCAAGCTGATTTAGACAAATGAAGAGTTTCAAATACTCTTGAGGAGAGACCCCTGACCTCTGTAGATGTGGGAAAGGAGAGGAGCTCCACCCTTCTCAGGCTCCTGCTCCTTGGAGGCTTGGTCCCACAGAGGGCAGTCCAGTAGGTGCCCAGGTCTTTGGACACCTGGACTGCTGAAGAGGGAAGCAGGCACATCTGTTCAGAGAGTAGGAGCAGAAGTGGTTGGGCTGTCCTTTGCCTGGATCAGGTTGCCTTACTGGGATGGGTCACCGGCTGTGACAATATCTGACTGATTTATGGGACCCTTCTTGAGTGAAAGAAGGAGGAGTCTCAGCTCACACCACAGACCCTAGTTCCTCCTGGCTCTATCTCATCTCTCCCCAAGAGATCGCCTCTGATGCACTGATCTTGCTTACCGGTTCCAGAAGGGAGCTAGTAGTAAGAGCCCCTTGTTTTCCATCTTCACCATTTGTCAAACTCCTACACATCCCTCAAGGTCCACCTCACTCCCTGTGGCTCACTCAGTCAATTCACTGAGAGCAGACGCTGAGTCCCAGGGTCAGCTCTGAGAAAAACAGGATAGAGCAGCTGACAGGAAGCAGCCAGACTCTCCAGGATGCTCAGTCTTGCTGTGGCAAGTCTTTACAGCATGGGCTAGCTGCTTTTCTTTCTGTGATAATAGCACTCTCACAGTGGCTTCAGGGAGGGGTTGGTGGGCCTGGGTATCAGAGCAGCTGCCCTGGAAAGTACACATGGCAGGCCTTTAATAGGCTCCTGGTAGGGACTGAGGAATGCTGGCCAGGGGGGTGGATGAGCAGGCGTGGCCCCCAAAGTGCCAAGGGCCAAATGGTAGGGCAGATAGGCAGGTGGGAGATTCTGCCTTGTGTAGCCAGGGTGACCCTCAGCCAGCCTCTCAGGCTTCCCTGGTCTAGCAAGCAGATCTGACTGAGCCAGGGATTGATAAAGAACACATCCCAGCTAAGGACCCCGTTCTCCTTGAGAGATGAGGGGTTGGCATGTTAGTTCCCCAGGGACCACACAGAGCTGAGTTTCATGATCCCTGGGTTAAGAGGACTGTGGGCATTGTGGTCACCAGAGCCTGAGTGGCCAAGCTGGAGGATAGGGAGAAGGACCTCCTGCCAGCCTGACAGGATCTGGGTTTCATTTCCAGCTGTCACTTGCTCAGCAGCCACCCCCTCCCCACTGCAGAGCTTGGGAACTGTTAGTGCAGACACATTTATCGAAGGAAAAGAAAACAGTCCTATTGTTCAGGGGGATAAGGGGGCGTCAGGGCCTCGCCTCTAGACTGACTCCCTAGAGGGACCCTGGCCAGTCCATAGGCGTCTGGGGGCTTGCATCACACTTTGGCTGTGTTTGCTCCTACAGGGGCATTGCCCCCTGCAGTGGGAATGGCCTGGGACAGGAAATCTTTTGATGGTTGCCTCCAGGTGGAGCCCCATGTGAGCCTGTAGTCTCTGGCATGCTGATGTGGCCACTGGGCCTTGGGTGCAGACAGAGGTACCCTTAGTCCTTCCCGGGGGAGGGAAGTAGCCCCTGAGAGCACGTCTGCCCAGGTGCAGAGTTGAGACTGGACTGTTTTCCCCCAGTCCCATCCCTGGGCACTTGTTACTCTTGCGGTTCTCTGTGAGAGCTCAGAGAGCTGTGGAAAGGCCTGGGGTGGGGGGCTCTCTTTGCTTCCTATGGTAGCTTGGTTGTTCAGAGAGGTACCCAGTACGCAGGGCTATGCCTTCAGTAAGTCCAGCTCCTAGGGTGGGGAAAGCTAGCTTACCCGCCACCCCCCCTCCCGCTTCCTTCAGCTCCTCACTCCTCTTTTCTTTGTGTCCTTGGTGGGCCACTGTGGCTCACTGTTGACCCCAGGAACTTGCCACCCATCTGGGTCCACAGATTTCTAGGGCTCTTTCAAGTATCACAAAATGGTTGAGGTTAGGGAGGGCTGAGAGGTGTGTGCTTCTACCTGGGAGGGGTAGGGGAACCTGGATCTGCTGTGTCTGGGCGCACACCATGTTCTCCTCTTGCAGGTGTGTCCAAGCTCAGCCACTGGAAACAGTCTTGGATCCCCATCTCTCAGGCCAGTGCCATGTGTCTGTGCCCAGAGCTGTAATGAAGGAATCTTCAGAGCAAGATGTTATCCGCAGAGTCCCTTCTCTACCTGGGTCCCTCTAAACTCACAGCTGCTTTTGTCACTATGACCATCAAGCCATTTCCTGAGTGGTCTCATGTGCCTGCCTTCACATGGGACTTGCCTTGTTTTTAACTAAGCATTCCAGTGAGGTGGGCAGTTTTCATCCCCCTTCCCACGTGAGAAAACTGAGACTAGAAGTGACCAGTCCCTCGGACACAACCAGGCAGAGGTTGGTCCCTGCTTTGCTCCACAGCCGCTGATAGGCCCTGCTGCTTGCCAACTCCACAGGTGCTAAACCTGTTGGGCTGAGTGGGCTCCCTGGATGTCTAAGGGGCCTGCAGCCCTGAGTGTTCCAATGGGAGGGCTCCATTGCCAGTGGCAGTGACTGTCAATTCCTGCAAACAGAAACATGGGTCTTGCAACCAGCTTGTGCTGTGGAAGACCAGGTGGATGGAGCCTGAGACAGCTGGGGAAAAGAAGGGTGCAGGGATGAGCGTTTGGGGGTACTGTATCCCATGTGTAACCTAATCTGCTTTCAAAGCTCTTCCTGACATCGCTCAGCCTTCAGCAGGGCAGGCTACGGCGTGAGACCGCTAGACAACCTCAAGGTGAGTCTGTGTTTGGATAGATGCCCATCTGACTGAAGAAGTAGCAAATATCTTGTTACAGGACATGTTTTGAGGCATGCCTTCCAGGGACGGAGGGAAGAGTGGGCAGGTAGGCCTGTCACATCACTGGAGAAGAGAAACGAGGGCAGGAATCTCTGGCTCTCCTAAGCCATGAGCTGGAGTGAGGATGGACAAGACCACTGGACTCACAGCTCTCAGTTGAGAGCTAGCTCATGGAGAGTGACCTCACCCTGGACAGCCGGTGAGCAGGCTGGGAGGAGGTGAGTCATCAACCAGCCTGACAGTGATGCTGCCAAGTGAATCTTTGCTTGTCCTTGAATACAAAAGCAGCAGGGAACAGCGCACACCTTTAATCCCAGCACAGAGGCAGGCAGATCTCTGGGTTTGAGGCCAGCCTGGTCTACAG